CATAACTTCGATAACATCTGTGTCCGGCGCCATCCCAGCATCGGTTCCAGCAACTATTACTATAGCATCGGAACTGGGCTTAGCCATCGCTTCCACTTCTAATGCTGATCTTTTGTGGTCTAAATCATCGCTGGCCGGAACGATTTGAATAACGGATTCAATTACTACCGCTTCTTTATTGGAAATTTTTGCATGATTTTCAGCATTGTTGGTTTTCTGGATTTCTTCTATTGAGTTGGGCACGTACATAATTGACGCTGCTTTCATTTCGCACTCATTAGATACCCCACATAAAACTTCCTCAGTAACCTTCTCCCCTACCGGTGCTACATAATCAATCAGTGCGCTTGTGTCCATTTTTAGCACATCGCAGTCATTAGTGTCCTCACCTAGTACTTCCTTAGTAACCTTCGCCACTTCCGGTGCTATACACTCTACCAGGGGGCTAGTTTCCGTTTTTAAAATTTCGCAATCATTATTCTCTTCTGCTAGTACTTCCTTACTAATCTTTACCACTTCCGGTGCGCTCTTGTCCGTTTTTGCCATTTCGCGATCATAAATCTCCTCACCTAGTACTTCCCCAGTATCATTCGCAACCACCGGGTCTACACATTCTATCAGTGCGCCCGTGTCCGTTTTTGGCGTTTCGCAGTTATTAGTCCCCTCTCCTAGTACTTCCTTAGCAACCTTCGCCACTATCGGTGCTACACACTCCACCAGTGTGCTCGAATCGGTTTTTGCCATTTCGCAATCAGTAGTCTCCTCATATAGTACTTCCTTAGTAACATTCGCCACTTCCGGTGTTACACACGCTTTCAGGGCACCTGTGTCCTCTCTTGGCGCATTTTGCAAATCTGTGTTAATATCTGAATCATGCGTTGGTTAGACGGTTTTCTGGGTAAATATATATAAAGAAATATTACCTTCTTTGAGAAGCGCCGATAACACAGTTTGGTCAAGCACCTTAAAACCACTCCCTTGAGGATCTTCCATGAGCTCACTTTGGCTAGCGCCAATCTCTTTGTCCATATCAGGTTTTGTTGAGGATGTTGGTGAATAGTTTAATGGCTTTACGACTCCCCTAGCAAAGTCAGTACGGTGGAAATGACGTGAAATCCTAAATTGTGTCTAAATTATAAACCAGNAATGATCGATAGCTATAATGGAAAGTCGATAAGATTTATTAACTTATTAACCCTACCACGTTCACCAAAGTCTGTCAAATTATTTGGGAGATTTTTAAATTCAGCCTCCTTATAATTAAATACTGATAGAGTGGCGAGTGTTGCTGTAAATCTGGGTCGTTCCGGTTACGTAGACTCGACTGTTGTGGGAACGATGGCAACCGTTTACACTTCATTGTTGCCCTGATCTTGAACAAATCTATTGAAAACACAATAGGGGTATTCTCCGAGTCTTGCAAAGCCCTTGCATGGTGCACGGATTGCACGGTCTGCAAAGCTGTCCCAAGCTTTGCAAGACTCAGAGAATACCCCTATTAATTAAAATAATAGGGAAAGCGTTTAGCCTTTATTTTTGAATGCAAGTTTAATTACAAGAATAGGTTATAATAAATGCAATATAATGAAATAATAAAATTATAATAAAAATTA